AGCTTTGATATGGTTTATTGTTGACTGCAGTAACAGAGCGAAGGGAATGCAATACTGCACGACAAGTGCCGCCTTATCAGATACTTGTACATGTATAAAACTGATGTCGAAACTACAGTGCCTAGCTACTGTTCATTTTTGGATCTTGGTACACCTGTTTGTTGTATAGCGCTTAACTTTTTGGTGAGCCAATGAACAATTAATTCTGTATCTAATCATATGGACTGTAATCACGTATCTTGCCCTGGTGAGCTTGACCTGGAGTCTCTGATAAGAGGCAAATTGAGAACTGATATTGAAAAGAGTATTAGGTATGCAAGCTACTGCTCTGTTGCTATGGGTGGTTTCTCTTGTGGGTAGTTTTCTACTGCGATCCCGAAACCCGCGATGCAACGGACGTACAGAGCAAAACGGATGACTACAATGCAACTAGTGATGCAGTCTCCGTCACATCACGCCACAGCATTTATTTTTTTTTGCTTTGCTTACCTACTGGAGGGTAAGTTTGTAAACTCGATGTGTCTTCAGTGTCTTAGAAAAACTACCAGAATACTGGGTAAGCCCAGAAGGAATTTGAGCTGCTACAACTGCTACGACGTGCTTCAAGCGTTTACGCCGAATGGACGAGGGACCGTAATGCTGAGGTGGAAATTTGTTGTGGAACAGCGCTAAATGCATGTCTACCTTTGATGTGAGACTATACAGCGTACAAATCCCCGCAGTTTCTGAAGGCTCAATGATGTCGACCGCCTGTCCATCAAGCAAGATTTAAAAACTGAGATGCTGTTTGGATTATCCCAGATACTATGTCACAATTGGACGATCCCGTTTTGAAGCTTTGGACTCTGGAATTTCAACTTAAAACCGAATCAAACCTAACAGCAATAGAGGTTTTTATTTGTAATACACCGTATTAATATACATGTGTCAGCAGCATATTAACACCACGCGCGGATACGTTATTGCGTATTGCTATCCTGTCAGGTTACTATTAAAATTGTCAGAATTGCCCTCAGATTGGTTTTCAGACGGCGGAATGAGTCTTGTCAGTACCTGGGCTGTGGAAATTATCGACACTATCACCCCCAAAAGGGGCAATAAGACTTCCAGTCCTTATTATCTTAAGGTCCGGTTTTGCGCATTGCCTGTATTAATAACTGCTCGCATGGGCTGTACGGCAGCTTTATTAATTTAAGGAGGCGTTAGTCAGCACTGCTGACTCAGCAATAAAAGTTGGTACACACACCACACTGTAACACTACGATTTCATCTAGGGACTATCCTTATAATAGTGATACAGTGCCGATTTTTTGCTACCAATAATAGGAAATAGAGTGGAATTTGTGCACAAATCGCCTCGAAATTGACCCATTTTCGGCGAGCGATTGTGATCCACTATCAAGCAATATGAAGTAGAGGGCACCATCTTTCTTATCGTTTGTGCATTTATCGGCGGTCCTCTGTTATTATTCACCTCTGGTAGTGAAAGGGTTGCTGGAATTGGATACGTAAGCGGGTCCCATCAATTCACGCCCGGTAGTAAAGGATGCTCTGAAGCTACACGTTGGAGTCCGCAGTGTGGCAATTCTCGCCCATCTTACCGGGACCGTTCGTCTTACAGTTAAATTTCAAAACGTATAAGCTTAAATTTGCTTTTCAACTACGTCATCATCGACGTGCAGCCCACTCAACCCGCTGGACTTTGCCGCTCTCCCGTGAGGACGCATGCTCTTGTGTCGCCAATGAGGGTTTCGATGACAAAAACATCGAGTGCACGGTCTTACATGAAGCACGTGAACGATCCATCTTGCGCTTACAGCTTCTTGGCAGTCTTAATGACCTCTTCGAACTCCTCTTCAGTGTGCTCCTGATGGCTACGGAACTTGGCGTCGATGCAGGTCTCCGAAGCTCTGAAGCGTTGCAACTTTGGGGTTTCCCCGATCAATCCCTTAATCACCGCGATGTCCTCGATATCAACCAGCCCAGGCACCACCGTCGTACGGAACTGGTGTTTGATGCTCGACTTCTTGATGATCTCAATCGACTTCGATAGGAGTTTGGGGCGAAGAGGCTTGCAGGCAACTTCACCGTAGCGTTCCGGGTCGGCTTTAACGTCCATGGCGATAAAATCCACGAGATGTTCATCAAAAATCTTTTGCAGCATATTCGGGTTGCTACCGTTCGAGTCGAGCTTGACGGTGATTCCGAGCTCCTTAGCACGACGTAGAAACGGGATTAAACCGGACTGGATCGTGGGTTCCCCTCCGCAGATCACCAGACTCCGGTGCTCCGTAGAAGCGACGTACTTTAGAATCGCATGAGGGTCCAAGTTCTCGGGCTTCTCGTTCACCAGATCACTGTTATGGCACCAACCGCACTTGAGGTTGCACCCTTTAGTGAACAGGATAGACGCAACAGGCCTGTCCGGGTAATCGGTGTACGTGGTCTTAGTGAATCCGCCGATTTGGAAGTCGATGGGCTCGTTCTCGATCGCAGTGTAGATCTTGCGCATACTGAACTCGACCTTTTTACCAGCGTTCCAGTCGGACACGGGGCGGAAGTAGCCGACAATACGCGAGTAGACCAGCGCCCTCTCTCCACATAGAGGACACTTAAAGTGTTCTCCAGCAAGGTAGCCGTGCGTATAACAGATACTGAATGTCGGTGTCAAAGTCACGTACGGGATCCGGTACGTCGTGGTGATCGACTTGACAAGGTCACGAGCTTGAGTCCAGCTTGATAGACGCTCGCCCAAAAAAGCGTGGAACACCGTGCCACCCGTGTACTCGGTCTGGAGCGATTCCTGGTGAGTCAATGCCTCGAACAGATCGTCCGTTGAATCCACCGGCAGCATCGTCGAGTTTGTGTAAAACTCAGGTAACTTGACGTCTGGAAACAGCTCGTGATCGATCTTTGCGAGTTTGTAGCACGTCGACTCGGCAGGTGTGGCCTCCAAGTTGTACAGATGCTTGGTCTCGAGTTGGATCCCCTGCAGTTCGTCCTTGATAAACTGCAGCACACTACGAGCGAAGTCTTTGTTATGATAGATACCGCGACCTAGCAGGATCGAGCAGGCCTCGTTCATACCTATGACGCCGATAGTGGAGAAATGGTTGGCCCAGTAGCTCTTGGCACGTTGGTACACGCTCTTCAAGTAGAAGCGTGTGTACGGATACAGCGCCATGTTGGATTCAATCACCTTACGCTTGATCTCCAGCGATTCCTTAGCGACAGCGATCGTCTCCTTAATAGCATCAAAGAACTTAACCACCGACGTCGAGCGCATCGCGAGATTGGGCAAGTTGAGCGTCACAACTCCCAGTGAACCGGTGAGAGGTGTGGCGCCGAAGATACCACCTGCACGAGTGTGGAGCTTGCGAGTGTCCAGCCGCAGACGACAGCACATGGATCGGAAGTCTGCAGGGTTTAGATCCGAGTTGATGAAGTTGGCGAAGTAGGGCACGCCGTACTTGGCTGTCATCTCCCACATCGGCTTGAATCGAGGTGAGTTCCAGTCGAACTCCTTGGTTAGATTGTAGGTCGGAATGGGGAAGCTGAAGATGGATCCGTTGCCGTCGCCCTGGATCATGACCTCGGCGAACGCCTTATTGAATATGTCGATCTCCTCTTGGAAGTCCCTGTACACCCACGTAGGGTGCTGCTGACCACCGATAATAACTGGTTGGTCCGCGAGGATATTCGAGCAGACTAAATCGAGCGAGATGTTGGTAAAAGGGGCTTGGAATCCGCTACGGGTAGGCACGTTGAGTGAGTACACGAAGGACTGGATGAACTTGAAGACCTCACTGTAGTTCAGTTCGTCCACGCGGATGAACGGGGCGATGTAAGTGTCGAGATTCGACAGCGCCTGAGCACCGGCCATCTCGCCCTGAAGAGTGAAGAGGAAGTTGACGATCTGGTTGAGAGCAGTGTTGAAGTGCTTGGGCGGACGACACTGTAGTTTGTTGGGCACCCCACCAAACCCGTGGATCAGGATATCTTCCGTGCTCCACCCCGAGCAGTAGGCACTGAGATAGCCCAGATCGTGGATGTGGAAGCGATTCTCCTTGACATAGTCGCGGATCTTGTCAGTGTAAAGCTTGTGCAGCCAGTATTCCTCGACGATGCTGGTGGCGATATGCTGACTCAAACCCTGCAGCGAGAACGTTACGTTCGAGTTCTCGGCCGCTTTCCATGTGATCTTGTCCAGATATTCGTCAATGACCGGGGAGGTGGCTGTTGCGATTGCCGTTGATTTGTTAAGAGTGGGTAGGCCAGTGATCTTGATGTCGGTGGTGGGGTCCGCGGTGTAAACGTCTTCGATGGTAGACTGGGACGGTGCCATGATGGTCGATGGGTTTGTGTGAATGGGGTGTCGGTGACACTTGGTGAAATCGAAAGTGACGATGGCAATGAAGCACAACTAACAATAAACACTGCTAGCAGGTCACCAAGCCACGGACTGGGAGACCACGCGACTTCTTTACGCGGAATGGCGGACGTGTAGGCACTTTCTACCAGAAAGATGGCGCGCTTTCGAGCTGAAGCCAGGAGTTTTGGCGCGAGTGCCATCCTACTAGGCTCTCCGCGCGCGACCTTGGCCGCTCCGTGTTTGAGTTTGAAATCTCCCGCGAAACTAGGATCGTGTTTTTACTTCAACGTGCATGTTTAACGCCAAGCAGAAATATGCAACGGGTCGCTGACCTGCAATCGGTCAGGGTGTTCGCGCCACGTAGCTTTGATATGGTTTATTGTTGACTGCAGTAACAGAGCGAAGGGAATGCAATACTGCACGACAAGTGCCGCCTTATCAGATACTTGTACATGTAAAGCTGAAATCTCCCAAAATGTTCACCACATCAAGTTTGTTGTGTATACATGTATACTGCCGGATATCGTGCATCCGCAAAGCGCCTTCGCAGAATCTTCAGTACGGTACCACCAAATCGGTACATGGTCTTTAGCTCGATTCATATCACGTCACACATTCCAATCAGCTTCACCATGCTGCCCACGATGCATCGCCTCGACGGCGGCCGTAGCGCCGCTTCCAACACTCCTCTAGATCTCAGTGCATCGCTCTCTCGCAAGGAAAAGCGCAGCTTAAAGCGCGGCGAGAAACGCTCGAAAAGGTCACAAATCCCGAAATCCGACAGCATCAAACCCGACTCGGAAGTTTCCAAGCCCGATGACAATGGCTCCAAAGCCCCCGTTATCATTGCAACATCGCAGCAAAGTCGATTCCATACTGTGACCTTCGATGAGTTCGGCAAGAACGTTTTACTTAACCAGTTCACACTCGCTATTGGGACTCCGTCGTCCGATGATACTGCAGACCCTGTTGGTGTTGTAGAGCTACTGAGAGACACTCAACTGAAACTCAACTACGGTACTCGCTATGGACTAGTAGGGCCTAATGGCATTGGCAAGTCCACACTACTCACTGCTCTGGCGGACGGACTAGTGGAAGGTCTCCCGACATCACTTAAGATCCTGTACGTGAACCAGTTAGACACGTCGTCGTTAACTCCTGAGTCAGCCAAGCAGTCGGTACTGCAGACAGTGTTGAGTGCAGACACGAGAGTTAGTGAGCTGCAGCATAAAATTGATGTACTACAAACGGTGTTCGCGGGGTCTTCAGAACTGGAAGGCAAAGCGAAGACGTTCGCTTCGCACAAGGCGGAGCTGCTGCATGCGTTGCTGACTATTCAAGTGATGGAGGCGGAGCAAGCACAACAAGCTGCTAGTAAGATCGCTATCAAGAGAAGTGGCATGCTCGGCAAGGATGCCAGGTTGAGGTTGCTGGAAGCTGAACACAAGACAGCAGATTTACGTCAGAGACTCCAGTTTACACTGCTGGATGAGGAGCACGAGAGCGTGGTTGCAGCTAACGAGACCGAAATTTTACATGAAGTTCACCAGAAGATGGAGCAGTTCCAGCAAGAATTAAAGATCCTAGACGAAGCATCCATGGAAGCGCGTGCTCGTCGAATACTGGCGAGTATGGCCGTCGATCCAGCCAAGCAGGACGCCCCGCTGTCGTCGCTTAGTGGTGGCTGGCAAGTGCGTATTCTTCTGGCTCGTGTACTGTTCATGGAGCCGGACTTTTTACTACTGGATGAACCGACGAATCACTTGGACATGCCCTCGATCTTGTGGCTAAAAAACTATCTTCTCACTCTCGACGAAGTGCTTGGAACTCCTGTGACTCTAGTAGTCGTATCACACGATCGGTTCTTCCTGAATGCCGTGACGGAAGAAACGATTTTCTTCCGTGGATATGACAAGACTCTCGCTTACTATGAGGGAACTTACGACTCATTTGAACTCGCTATGGCACGGAAGAGGCAGTTCAATGCTCGCTTGCAGATCAAACTGGACAAGAAGACGGAGCAGATGAACGCAATGGTCTCCAAGATTTCTCAGCAAGCAACACGATCCAAAGATGACAAGAAGATGCAAGTTGCAGCTTCGAAGAAGAAGAAAATGGATCGTATTGGCAACGAACGTAGTGCTAAAGGTACACGGTTTAAACTTAACCGGGATCGCGCGGGGTATTTCCTCACAGATCGTGATCAAGCTGAGGATCAAGCCAAGTATGACGAGACTGAAGGTGGCAACAGTGCGAGTTCCGCGTGGCGTATACTATCCAGCAGTCCTCCGCAGATCCGGAATCTCACCAAACTGGACAACACGACTATGCTTTCACTCGAGAATGTATCATTCCGCTACGATACATTTGATGAAGAACCAAAGATGCCACTTGTATTGGAGAAACTCAATCTTACCATTAACTACGGCGACAAAGTTGTGTTGGTGGGTCGCAACGGCGCAGGTAAAACTACCTTCATGAAGCTGTTAAGCAAGGGGTTAACGCCAAAAAGTGGTAAGATTGAGTATTTCCACGGAGCACGGATCGCATCATTGATGCAACATAACGTGGAGGACCTCAAGCGTCAAAAATGGTCTCGAGGTCTCACTCCACTGGAGCTATTGCGTACACGGCTACAAACGGATGAAAGTGCATCGATAGCGACAGAGTTAAGCGGTACCGGTGTCGTGAGTGATGGTAAAATACGCGGTCATTTAAGCAGCTTTGGAGTCACCGGTCAAACTGCCGTGACAGTCCCGCTGCGCGCTCTCTCAGGTGGACAGTTGGTGCGTGTCGGGTTGGCATGGGCTACGTTCCCATACCCGCCCCATGTGCTGCTGCTGGATGAGCCCACGAACCACTTGGATATGAACACAATTCAACTGCTAGGCGAGGCTTTGCGTAAGTATCAAGGAGCGGTGGTGCTCATTTCACATGACTTGCATTTTCTCGACATCCTCACGAACGGAAATCAACGCGCGGAAGAAGATGAAGACGAAAATGATGACCAAACGCGTGGTCGAGTTCGTGTTTTCGAGGTGAACAAGAAGAGGGGCGTGGTGTCTCTACTGCCACTTGAAGGAGTGGAGACGTATCAAGAGAAAGAAGAGAGCCGCATAGCTTCCCTAGGGCGCCTATGACCAAATCAGTGTCAGCACCTTCAACGTAGCCACATAAAAGTGTGTTCAATGTTCAATTTAAGTCTAGTTCAAAGTTTGAGTTGCATTGTTGAAAAAACCAACTTGACTATGGTACTTGGTGTGGTGGATCCGTCTTCCTTATTGTTGCCTCCCAAGGGTGAACGCCATGACAAACGCCTGCCACAAACCTCAAAAGCTCGATTGCAACGTATTTGCCGCTCGGTGGCTGACTCCACCGGCTCGGGGTTCGTCTATGGCACCATGTTTGGGTCAGTTCTGGCGGTGGTGGAAGGAATGCGAACAGCTCCAAAGCATCAGAGGCTTAACGGTGCATTGCATCATGCCAAGGTCTTCGTACCAGAAACGGCGGGTCGAATTGCAATGGTCACGTGTTTGTTTCGAGTCGCAGCGTTTGGGATCGAGGAGCTTCGCGATAAGAGAGATATGTGGAATACGTTGATGGCTGCACCTGTTGCAGGGGCGATGGTGAAGGTTCGACAAGGACCGAAGGCGGCGTTGAATAGTGCGATTGTGTTCGGAAGCTTCGCAGCAGTGGTGGTCGCGTTTAATTTGATGGAGGCGAAGCTGATGCACGAGAAAAGTTCGCCAGAAGAGGTACTGGAAGAGATCGCGTTTGCAGAGGAAATGACTGACTGTTAGGCTAGCTAAAGTCGTGTATAGGGAGAATGGCTGCATAGCGAGCAATTTTATTAACATTATTTGACAAGGAAATCCACGAGAGAATCAGTGTTCAGTTTTGTTAGTAGTGAATCCCTTGCTTAAATCTGATTAAAAAAAAAAGTTTGGGCAAATCTGCGGGTTTACATTTTTCCCATGCTGTTTTGGAGTCAGGAATCCAAAACAGTGCAACAGGGAATGCCTTCATCCATTCCTTTCGTCCACTATTTCTATCAATATTTAAAGCTTGCCGTTTACTACAACCGTTCATAAGACCACAACGATTATAGGCACCTGCACAATCAAGCTTCAAAACAGAACAGTTATTTTTGACTTCTTTCCTTGGTATCTTAGGGCAATTTTTGATCCTTTCAAGACAGACCAATGCACTAACGTGCCTTCACTGATACACTTGCAAGCTCTACAACTAGTAAACAAGTTGCGATGTCGAACGAGGAAAACGACTCATGGACGTGCCCAGGCTGCACCCTTAAGAACGAGCTCATCGCCGAAGCGTGTGCCGCTTGTGGAACCACCAGTCCGCTGGTTCTCCAGAGCTACGCAATTGAAGAACGAGGTTGGACGGAAGGAGAAGGCACAGCTATAGATGGAGGACGATCTCAACGTCCCAGTCTCGTGTCTCAAGGCTCCGACAATGCTACACCCCGTGACGATGGTGAAATTGACCCGTGGGTTCAAGCGGAGTGTGAGTGGGCGCAGATTGAGTCTCGCCAAGACGCGCGGTCGCGAAAGTAGAAACGGTTGCCTCAAGTGAAGCTCTTTGAGTATATCGTATATTTTCTTATCAAGTTAAAAGCTGCGATCCTTCATGCTTTTTTCGGTTTTCTTAATAACCTGAAAAATCTAAGGAAATCATTTTGCTGTGAGCCCAGATATAGACTCCAGAACATTATACTTTAGTTGTATGTATATTCTGATGGTGTACGGGTTCCAGCAAAGAAGTATTTGTCGCTGTGTTGCGACGTTAGAATATGAAACTACTCGACGACGCTATTTAAACGAAGCCGATATTTGCGCAGTCTATAAACATTGCTCTTTTCAGATTTATTTGGCTACAAATTGCAATTGCTTCATTAGTATAACGAGCAAATACAAGTCATGCGGCCTTCGTATCAGTCATTTCAAAAGTGGAATCCATGCTTAGATGTAAGTATATCACATACACAGCGAATGTTTTGTAGGCCTGTACGGTTACCGTGGCGATTATAGTTTGCACAGTACTGTAATGTGCCCACCTGCAAGAGATAAAAGCACCTACCGGTACTGAGTATTCAAGTACTTAGTTATACAAATGCACAATGCTGTCACAATTTCGATAGAAAAGGCCCACGATATCGCAAAGCTCGATGACCGGCAGCTGTTAGCTGCTGCAATAACGATAAACAGGATTCTTTCTTCCCCGATCCTTTCGCAAGAATCCCCTGCGAAGACTACAAAAAGTATGCCCCCCCCCCCCCCCCTCAATAGCATTATTTGAAATATTCTAACTGGTCATACCACGGAGTAGGCAACCAAGTGTTAGAGGCACAGCAAAGCGAAAGAAATGCACAATGCAAGTTCTGTCCCACAAATTTATAATAATTTAATGTTGAATAAGACTATTAGGCCAAAAACCAAAGAATAGTTTTCTTTGATCATTGTGATATCATTCTAAGATACTCTCCATTATTTTTGCACTACTTATATACTTTGGAAAGCGAGCCACTACCATTTGGAATAATAACGTTTCTATTGATCACATTTTTTAAAAGGTAAAACGAAGGGTTGTTTTGTAATGAAGTATGCCCACGACAACTTCATTCAATGATGTGCTATCATGGTTGTGTTATCTAATTCTTATGTGCGTGCACATTATGATACATTCTTTTCTGTTAGAACAACTGGATATGAAATACATCAGCTTGTGTTATTTTGACTCACCCGTTTCATCAGAAGTGAATCCAAGCCAGCAACCTTGAGTGTGCACGAGTTCACTTTCACTTGATTTCGTTCACGCGATCGTTGCAAGGTTTTATTTGATCTAAGCTAAACTTATCTTATTGATATCATCTGCTACCTGTAAGGATACGAGCACTTCTCATGATAGGACGCTCATAACGCTTCCATTGATCACCAACTAAAAGCAACGCTGTGTTATGGTTAGCACTATCCGGCTACCAAGGTTGGCGCAATCGCGTTTAGACACCTCATATTCCAATAATCAGTCTTACACACAGGTGGCGGTCGTCACCCAGAACTAAACCATCTCGTCTCCTCGACACGCTAGAAAAAAAACCATGAATAAAGGTGAGGTGGTGATTGCAATCCTGGTTATGATTGCTTCCTGCTGCTACAGCTACACTGAAGCGAAATCCTTCAGTCGCAGAAGGAACCTGCGGGATCTTTCGAGCGATACTGCTACCCAGGGAACAAATGTTGACGAAGAAGAGAGAGGGGGCGGAAACGTGTTGAGCACACTTTTTAAGAAGGCGGACAATTTCAGCAAGATCAAAACATCCCATGGGAAAGCCGCAGACCTGAGCACGATTAGATCTTTTGCGGAAAAGGATGATGAACTGAGTAAACTCAAAAGCCTGCCATCGAAAAAATCCTTTAAGCTCACGAAACAAGACATCACCAACGTTCGACAATTTGGTGAAAACGATCCAGCGAAATTTAAAAAAATGGTGGCCATTTGGAGTTTACATGGACTTGGAACAGCCGCTGTTCTTGTTCTTCTGGTAATGCTGAGTCGCGGTGGCGAACGTTAACAAATTAACCGTTTTCTGGGTTGGTCCGGATTTCATCAACCTGCTTCAGACACAGACTTGTTTGGCTGTATAAGAGCCGGGAATTGTTTTACCATGTTGGAAGCGCAGGTAGTTGAGGTGTTAATGATACAAGATAACAGCACCACTACGCGAGAGTTTCATCGTCAACTTTACTTTACCTCTTCGTCTTTATTAGAATAATGATAATGTCTCCGCCATAAAATATAATGCTACACCTCGTGGCGATGACGAGGATATGGACGCGTAGACTCATGCCGAGTGTGCATATATGTACTACGCGGAAACTGTTAAATGGCCGTAGAATATGTTCAACACAGTACCGCATCAACAACACATAAAAGCAAACCTACTTGATCATGATTCTCTTTTCAGTAGAAATGATCTTTTCAGCACTACACCAAATACTGTTCGTCCTCCTCGTCCTGCTCAAAACATCCAGTAGTAGCCACATCCGAATACCAAGCACCTGCCGAACGTTGAATGCGTGTGAGTTGTGTAGGCAGAGCTGTGTACTCGTCGATATCTCCGGTTTCATCCGTGTAGTTCACGAAGTAGAGTCCACGACGTCCAGCGTAGCTGGTCCACTCGAAACCATCCATGAAACTCCACACCGTGTATCCAATAATTGGGATATCCTCCTCGTAGATAGCCTTGTGCACTTGCTCTAAATGTGTGCGGTGATACCAGATCTGGTCGGGGTTGTCAATAGTCTCATTGCCACACCACCCGTTCTCAGTCAGAAGAATGTCAGCACTTGTGTCGTGCTCGTGCAGGAAACGGATAACCTGGATGTACCCTGGAGGGTACCCAGAGTCAGTCGAACAACTATCAGGATCCATAATACTTCCATAGGCATGACGAGCGCCGTCGGGGTTACGCGAGTCATCAACTCCGAGGTCTGTGGCCCACCCCAGTGTCAAGCTAGAGCAATTCGTCTCCGAGCGGTCGGAATCGCAGTCCGTTGTAGCATACGAGGCGTAGTAGTTAAGCATCAGAAGGTCGTATGAACCTTTGACCTGAGCACTCTGCTCATCTGTGAAATTCGGCAGACGATCACTAATACGTTCGCGCATGACTGAAGGGTAGTCTCCGGTCGTCAAAGGGCTCAAGAACCAGCCTAAGTGGAACTGGTTCTTGCGTTCAGCAGCAGCCACGTCTTCAGGGAACGAGTCGTTTAGCGGCACGCCCCAGTCGGAATTGATGACGATGCTGATGCGAGCAGTGCTCTTGATGGTCCCTGCTTCACGCAGTTCATGGAATTTCTCCACTGCGGCAGCGTGTGCAAGCAGCACATTGTGAGCCACCTCGTACGCGTTGGTGCTGGAGTTGCCGAGCTTCGGTGGGCCGTAACCAAAGGCGAAACCCGTGAGGATGAACGAGGCTGGCTCGTTGAACGTCGTCCAGAACTCCACGTCCTGTCCGAACTCCTCGAAGATAAGCGTCGCGTAGTCCACGAAGTGGCCGATCATTGCCTCATTAAGCCACCCAGGCGGGTCGGACGCAGACTGTAGAGTGGCTGGCAAGTCCCAGTGATACAGCGTCATAATGGGCTGAATACCGTTAGCCAGCAGCTCATCCACCAGTGAATGGTAGAACGCCAAGCCTTCCGGATTCGCCTGCATACGCTGCGTCGTCTCATTCCACGACATGGCGCGCGCCCATGCGAGGGAGAAGCGGAAAGTACCGTATCCATCGTTCTTCATGAGAGTGATGTCACTGTCATAGCGGTGGATGAAATCATCAGCCACGTTAGCACAGGGGACTCCGTTCGAAGTATCACGGCAGAAGTTATCCCAGATACTTGGTTCCTTGTTAGTGGCATTCCAGCCGCCCTCAGCTTGGTAAGCCGATGACGCAGTGCCGAAGAGGAAGTCCGATGAGAAGCAAAGGGTTGAGTTGGCATTGCTGCCAGTGGCGGAAGTTGTTGGTGAGGTCGACGCCGACGAAAAAGCGCAGGCGGCTACCAAGGTGCCTAAGAAGCGCAATGGCACCATTGTCACGGTTGTAGCGCACGGCGTAGGGAAAATCTGTGAATGGACCGAAATGGATGACCTGCCAAGCTTGGTCCACGTACAGATCTCGAGCGGAAGTTGAAGTTTTCTGCTGCAACATAAACTAAAGCATAAACAGTAGGCCTTTAGCTGGAATTTATCATTCTCTTGGGCATTTGCAATGACAATCAAAAGAAAACATCATTAAACCTTTTGGTTGTCATTACAATTGCCGCAAGAATCAAGGGATCAAAAGTCCACACTCGCGGTGCCAGTGATCGCGTTCACATTTGTTGGCACTCAATTGCGCTGCTAAGTTCTCTATTGCCTTCTACTTTTAGCGTCGGTAATCTTCTACAACGAAGCTACGCACGCTTAACCTTCGGGGTCAGCGACTTGCTGTACATGCGAATGAGTGACGCCACCATCGTGAAGGCCGACATGCCCAGAATGGCTGCAGTCTTCCACCACGCATGGTCATTCGCGCGCTTCACGTCCTCCGCCGTGCAGCCCTCAGGCAGCACCACTCCATCTACCGGAATGTTGTCACCAGCAACTGTCGCACTACCTTTACACTTCTCGATCACTTCCGACGAATTCAACGCCAAGAAAGCGTAGAGCAACAAACAAATCGTAGCGAGAACGAAGGCGACGCGCTTGCCGAATTGCGCAGAGTCCAATTGGCGGTCCAAACTGGTACCAGCATGACGGTACACCACCACGCGCAGCTTCGTCACCGTAAAGTCCGCATGTGTACCCTCGTCTGCGATAGGAAGACAGCACAATTCACGCGAAGACGACACCACCACTTGCCACGTCGGGCCGTATGTGTAAGTCAGCGAGTGCTACATCGATAACAATATCAAGTTATCTGGGGGTATCTCAAAGTTAATATTTACCAACAAGTGCTCAGCGTACCTTTAACGCTTGAGCGATCTTGGTCTCATTGTCCTCTATGCCCTCGTAGTAGTTGTAGAGTTGCTTGGTTTTGTCGATCACGGCCTCCTTCATCTCATCTTCCATGTCGGTCTCGAAAACCACTATCTTCCTCTTGGTGTTGAGTTTTTCACTATCATCAGTCAGCGCTTCGTGCTCCTGTTTGGGGCGGGGAGTCACAGAAGGCGTCGTGCGGTACAGCAACACTTTCATCTTGCTTGCCTTGCTGAACAACAGCACACAGGCTCCCTTGCGCTGTAAGGTATTAATTCAAACATCCCATACAGTGAGACATCCAATCTTCCCGTTAATATAAAATATGAAGAACTATTCACATACGTAGCGAAGATCCACAGCAAAGTCGCCGCCCACGAGGACGTGCCAGCCCGAGCCCATCGACGGCGCCAGTCGGCGCTGCAGCTCGGCCGCAAATTCCCGGATACTCGACGTTTTCTTGGCTGCACCATTGACCGCCTTCTTGGCGGCCACCTGGATGGCCACAGACGCCACGGGGGCCTTGGACACTAGGAAGTCTGCTCCACTGAAGACCATGGCGGGATCAGATCGGGCTCCCTCTCTTTTGTGATTGACACACACTTGACTAGAAAAATGACATACAAGAGGTATTACTAAAATAATGCTTCAAGATAGGTACCCAAGTGGCTACAGTCTGCGTGTGCTCTGAAGGTTGAGCTAACCTTTTGATGTCGCCCGAGAGCGTGTCAACCGCGTGGCTCTGTTGAAAGTGGCTTTTTGGCGCGAAATTCAAAGACAAGCCAGTTGGACAGGGTGGACCAAAATAAATATACCATTCCCATCTCATCACCATTTAATCACTCCGCAAGCAGGGAAAAACCTTCTAACTGTGTAGCGAACCTCGTTGCATAAAATTAGTCCGCCTTTTTCAAATGCCCTTTTCTACGACACATTCGAAAACCCCGCCAAACCAACCCATCAATCTACCAACCATGAAGCCCGAGTCGAAGCTGGTCGTTGTCGCGCTGGAAGGCTGTCACGGGTGCGGTAAGACCGCGCTATGCGAGGAGTTTGAGGCGCAGGGCTATGACATCCTGGACGAGGCGTTCATGGACATGCCCGCGTACGCTCTGCACCCGCAGTCGCTTCTCATGGAGACGTCGTGGGTCTGTTCCTGGTTCGAGCGCGTGTTGCGACTCGCGGACCGCGTCAAGCCTGGTCGCAAGCAGGTTTTCATCGCCGATCGCTCGCCCTTCAGCGCTGTGCTCTACTCTGCCAACGGCCACCTACTGGAGCCCGTTATCCGCGAGCAGATGCGGGAGGTGCAGGACTTTGCCGGTGTGCAGTTCTACACAGTGCACGTGCAGGTAGAACGCGAGCTACTGTGGCGTCGCATCTGCGCGCGACTGGAACTGGAGCCCGAGCGATTACGGCTCAACGAGCACAAGCGCGAGTGGATGGAG